GAGTTCTGAAAGCAGATGCAAGATGAGGAAAGAGGGATCCAGACCTGACTCAAACCTTTGAGCCTAAAAAGCATTTGGAAAGTTCTTAAAAATCCTGCCATAAACTGTTTCTACATGGGACACAATAAATGATACCTCACTTCTGGAAGCATCCAAGGCTTCCGGCAAATGGTGCCCATGACAAAGCTCTGAGTATGGTGTTACCCAGGCCACAGTGAGCAGCTCTATGCTGCCCCACAGCTGCTGCAAGCGAAGAGTCAGGTATGGAGAACATCAACATTCAGTGTGAATGTTTTCCTTGGTCAAAAAAGAAAGGGCATGGAGGAAACTGATGGTCAGCACAGCCAGAGTACAGCAGTACAGCAATCTGCTCAGTCCTTCTTGCTGCTGGGGTTCTTACTGTTGAACAGACTGACTTTGCTGGCAGATGCCACAGACAGAGAAGGAGACTCCAGCTTCACCTTATCCAACAAAGTCTTCTTTATGGCTGCTGGGGAGATCTTCTCCTTGTCGGCCAAATGCTGCAGCTGCCTGCCATAGGGTGGTAGAAGAGAGAGAAGGTAAGAAGTAGAAAGAGGAAGAGACAAGTGGCTCTTTAGGATTTCTCAGTGCCCACCTTGTCCGGATACAGGAAGCCTCCACAGCATTGATGAGCAGTGAGCGAAAGCCTCCGCTCTCCAGGAAGTGCAGGGCATGAATGCTGGCTCCCCCAGGGGAGCAGACGTTGTCTTTCAGCTGACCTGGGTGCTGCTCTGATTCCAACAGCATTTTGGCAGCGCCCTGTGGTGAGGAATAGAAAACGACTATCAAAACTCTGACTGAGGAAACCCTCTGCCAGATACTCCTGTTCTTCATTGCTTAGAGCAGCACCTAACGGGTCACAAAGGGCAAAACCAGTCTCCTGCCCGAGGGCCAATAGCAGGCTGCCAAAACACTTTGGAGAGCTGGAAAATCCTGTACAGGAGACATGGCTCCCCAGGCCCACCACACCACCAGCACCAGCAGATTGCTGCAGGCACTTCCTATGTCTCCTTACCAGGAACCCGTGTGCATTCAAACCAAATGTACATTTAAATGCATTCAGTAAAGGGACTGAAATCATTTAAAACTATGCTGTGCAGATGCTCTGCACAGAGCAGGCAGAGGCTCAAGAGCATTTTGGAGCAAGCAATACTGACCAGCAAAGCCTGAGCTCCGAGCCGAACAGCCAGCCTGCGGGGAAGCCCCATTTTCACACCTCCATCAGCCAGAGCATCCAGGGCAGTGAATGCCTGAGATCAGACAGGGGAAAAAAAGTGACTGGAAGTCTCTATTCTGAGACCAGTGTTCTTACAGAAGGCAGAATCCACAGCTCTAGGATCACATTGTGACTTACAAAGACTTGACAAAAGTCAGCCCCTTTACTGCATTGATGCCATGCCACGCTTCTCTCCCACCAGCTCCAGCTGAGTTGTAGGGAGAATGGAAGAAATTCAGCTTCTAGGTCATCCTAACAACAGGCTCAGATTTTGCAACACAGACGTGGACACTGCACACTGGCTATGGACTTCAGCCTCATCCAACTGGTAATAGACTTTTGTTGTTGACCCACACTGGTTATAAACTGGATACCTGGATTACATGTCCCATCACGAATGGCAGTGATGAGAAAAACAAGAAAACACACACTGAATGTGCACAGACATGCAAAGCCCACCAGTGTCCCCAGCATTTCCATGAACTGAGAAAGCAGCACATACATACGCAGGGCCACTGCCACTGAGCCCTGTTACAGCATCTATCAGGTCCTCTTCCACCTCTGTGCAGAAGCCTACGCTGGCCATAAGTTGTTCCAAGAGCTTCCCATCCTCCACATCTGCATGAGTCCCAGTAGCATAGACTGTGGCACCTTCTCGGACAATCACAGGGGTGTTGGTCATGCACCTGATCACTTTAGGTGCGGGGCAGAAGGCAGAGAGTTTCTTAGGGCAGAAAATTATTGAAGATAGAGAGAAAGAAGGAAAAAAATAAATAAAAGAGAGCTTTAGTGCATATCTGGCATTTCAAACAGGAAGGGGCTCCTGAGGGGCACAAACAGAGGAGCAGAGAGATTCCTGTGTACCAAATTCCCCACTTTAAGTCAAAGAGGGCAAAACTTAAATGTGAAATCCTTAGTCACAGCACCAAACCGAACACTGTGGGGAACAACATCCTCCACAGCTGCCCCATCGGCACCAGAACAATTCCTGCAGACACTGAGCACAAAGTCTGCAGAAATTCACAGGAGAAGACCCACCTCTTCTCACACGGAGAGAAAAAGCGATCTGATAGCATTTCATGTAATAAAAAAGCCTCCATGAAGAGCACTGTAGCTTATTCTGACGAGGCAAAGGTGGCCCAAAGCAGCCAGCTGGGCACAGCACAGTGCTGTGCTGGGGACCGCAGGCAATGCTGGGGTCAGGCTTGAGTCCACTTCCAGCGCTCTGCTGTCCTGATGGCCCTGCCCGGCTCAGCACCTCCCGGCCCTCACCTTCTCGATGGAGCTGATGGTGACACCGGCAGCGCAGGAGACCACGATGTGACGCTCCTCGATGTCGGGCCCCACCTCGTCCAGGATGAAGGGGATGATGGGGGGCTTCACGGCCAGAAAGAGGACGTCGCTGCTCTTCACCGTGTCCTTGTTGCTCACAGTGAAGTTCACGCCCATTTTCTGCAGTGGGAGAGAGAAGCGACGGCTGTGGTTCGTGGCTGCCGATCGGGAGCAGCGCCCAGCCGCCCGCACTCACCCGCAGCCCGCTGACGGTAGGCAGCTCGGTGTCCGGGGAGCTCGCCGTGATCTTGTGTGCTGCCAGGATCCCTGCAGACAAAGAGCGACTCAGCCCGGGCACCTCGCCGGGCACCTCGCCACGCCCCCCCGGCCCCGCACCCACCTGCCGCCGTGAAGCCCCGGGCCAGGGCGAAGGCGAGCTGCCCGGCCCCGATGAATCCCACGCTCATGGTGCGGTGCGGTGCGGTGCGGAGCGACCAAAGCCCACCTGCAACCGCGCCGCCGTCCACGTGGCCGCGCTCCGCTCAGAGAGGCGGTGACGCGGCGCATTGGGGCGGGGCGGAAGCGCGTAGCCAATCGTCAGGCTGAGGGGCGGGGCCACGCCGGCTCTCCGCCTCTCAAGGGAGAGAGGCGGGGCCTCCGGCTGAGCTCTCGCCAGCGATTGGTGCAACTCGCTCCGGGTGTTGCATCATTCACCGCCTACGCGGACCGCCCGGGGCCGGCCGCTGCCTCTCAGCTCCGAGCCGCCAGGGGGCGCTCTCGTCCCGCCGCAGCCGCGCGCGGAGCGCGGTCCCTTCTGGAAGCTTCGGGTCCCGCCCTGCTCTGGGGCGGCGGTGGGCGCGGGGCGCGGAGGGGCGGCGCTCCTCGTCCTGGGGGATTTTGTGCTTGTTTGCATTCCGTGTCTCATTTCTTAATGTGTAAATCTGGGACCCGGGCTCGAGCACAGAGCCGGGCTCTGAATGCACGCACGTACATGTCGGCATACCACAGCGCCATCCCAGGACGCCTCTGTGATGAGTTCCTCCATCATCATTTGCTAATTAAGGAGGACGGGCTCTGGAAATAAAGGGCTTTTTAATTAACTGGATCACGACAAGGCTGGTTGTTAAAATCACATTAAGCAGATACGGGATGTTCTGTGTCCAGGATTGGGCAATCTCATTCTTTCCAATGGTTTGAGGGTTTTTAACCACCAAAGCACGAGGATTGCTTATTTTTATTTTTTTTTTCCCCCTAAAAGAGCGAATTGTTGTCCACAAATCTGCCTTTTTTGCCATTTTGACCATGCGAACATTTTTGCTCAGCCCTTGGCTGACAGATGAGAGGGCTGAATCTGAACAGGCTGTTCTTGGCAATGCTTCTCTTTCCACTCCTCCACTGCATGCTATCATCATTTCCACCTTACGTCTGATTTCCTCGCCATCGTTGAGGCACCAAATGTTGCCCCCATGCTTTCCCTTTGGCCTCACGTTATGCCCCCCTCCAGCGGTGTCGCTTGGTGCCATTCAGCTTTGTGCTGTGGTTCTGCTCACTGCTGGGTGCAAAACCTGCACAGCAAGAGAAGTGAGTGAAAAAAAAGGGGAAAAAAGAGAAAAGAAAAAGGTGTTGTGCAGCAGAGGAACTTCCAGCAGATTGCATGTGAGATTTGGCGTCATCTGCTGGGCCCCCATAACAAAATGGAGTCTGCAGGAAGGATGATGCTTTCTTCAAGCAAAATCCCTTTGTTGTTGTTGTTGTTTTTTCGGGTTACCTATCTGATTTTTTGCACTCCATCGTATCAACAACAGAATGCATTTCCAAGTGTTACACGGCTTCATTTGTCCAGGTTAACCGGGTTAAAAAGAATGCATTTAAAGGCTCAGGGATCCTTCTGCATGCAGTGGCTCTGTTGGTCACACTGCCTGCTCTAAAACAAACAGATTTCTCATCCAAACAGCAATTCTTACTGGTACAACCCTTGACTTTGTTTGGTTTGCAGGAAATAAAGCTCCCTCGTGTCCCTTTTTATACCTGCACTGGATAGCACAAAGCTCTGCCCTTGGATAAGCCAGCCAGCCTCTTGCTCAGCCATCATCTTCCAAATTTCCTGCCTTAATGGGAACTTGTGGAAGAGAAAAGAGCCCTTGGAAGGCTGCATGGCACATTCCAATAGATACCAATGCTTCTTTCATGGGCTAATGGTTCCAGCTAAAGTCCTTAGAGTGGTAGTATTGTGCAATGCAACCTCACCCAACGGACATTTTTTCCTTTGCTCTTCAAACCCCACACAAGGCAATAATGAAAAATATCTTTCCTTCCTTTTTCCTGAGCAAGTCTGCTACAAAGAATGTCATCCAGCAGTGCTGGCGGCCTGGGCCATGCAGGCTTTTTGCATCAACACGAAGTGAGCCGTGCTTTGTGCTGGAAAGCAGAAGGGCTCTGGCTGCTGAGATAAAAGCTGCACGAAGGGAAAGCACACAAACCTCTGTAGGTGTCGTCTGCAAGGCTGCCATTCAGCTTTATTTTAATTTGCTTAAAAATAAATCTCGCTTCTGTCCGTCAGCTGCTTCTGGATTTTAATCCAATCTATCTGCTCTGCATGAGAACTCGGGCTGCTTTCGTGTCTGCCTGATGGCAAGTGAGGAGTTGTTCAGCTAAGCCGGAAATCTGAGCCATGCTATGTGGGACTTTTTTGGGTGTTTTGTCAGGGATGGGTCGGAGGAGCGCAGCTGGTGTGTGACACACAGAGCTCAGGAATCCCAGAACCTGATCTGCTCTGAGCCAGCACCCCCCGTTTGTTACCATTACATGCAAGGATTTTCCCTACGAGTTCAGTCGTTATCACAGAATCACAGATTTGTAGGGGTTGGAAGGGACCTGCAGAGATCATCGAGTCCAACCCCCCTGCCAAAGCAGGTTCCCTACACAGGAACCCTGGGACCCTGCTTTTATGCAGGGCTGTGATAGCGATTCGTCTTTGTGTACCTTCATCCCCACCTCCACCCTCAAAATGTATCTTTAAACTTCCAGGAAAACAATCCTGACATCGGAATAAAGAAGCAGTGACATATGAGCAGCGCAGGTGCTGAGGTGCCCTCTGGTCCTGTCCAAGCAAGAACGTCTGGTTGTGGTTGCTTTGCAATCTGGGTCTATTCTGCACCATTTCTTGGCAATAGAACTCCAGTTTCACAAATGTTCATTTCTGTACAGACTTGGTGCTTGCTAAATAGAATACCCTGTGCTCCCCCTCGAGGTGCGTGCTTGGGATATTCTTTTTCTGTGCTAAACAGGGGAGCAGAGGGAAAGGAAATCATCAAAATAATATCGCAGCTATGATGTTCTTCTCAGAAACATCCTGACTGGAATTTCCCACATTTGCAAGTATTTCATGTCTCACCACACAGCCCAGACTAACCCAAACTCCAGCATTGTTTTTCGTCTCTGGAACTGCTGTTCCTTGATGCAGCTTTTAACTTTCCCACTTCCTGGGTAGTCACTTGATTATAGTTAAGTGTTGGTAACAGTTTCAAAATCTTTGGTGTCTTTCCTAATATTTGGCTCAGCATTCCAGCAGCTTACAGACCCACTATTGCAGCAAGCATTTTTTGCCTTCTGGAGATGAGAGGCCATTTTGCATACTTCAGACTGCAGGATTTCTTCACTCTGGCACCAGGTGGCTGAAGCAAATGCCGACTGATGGGGGGTGGGCAGCTGACCCACTGCAGGCTGTGACCGTGGGCCCACTCAGCCCTGGCAATGAGCTCTGGTTCGTGGTGCAGTCAGTGCCCGTCCTCACCGCGTCCCATTTCCTCCTGCTGCTGCTGGAGCCGGGGCAGAGCCGGGCCTCAGATGTGGGATACGAAGCGGATGCGCTGGGAGTACGCCAGGTCTACCACGTAGAGCAGCAGGTTGACGTAGGTGAAGATGGCCACCACCAGCTGGCTGTCCCAGGGGCACCTGCCCTTGGCACAGGCGCTGGGGCGCTGCGGGGAGCCGTACTTGCTGTCAAAGCAGAACACTGGCCAGATGACGGCTGCGCTCACATACAGCAGGACGGCCCCAAAAGTGTAGACGACCACAGAGCGCTCAAAGGGGAAACACAGCTGGGCAGTCTTACCTGTGACACTGAAGGCGACCACCACCACCGTGACCATAAAGCAGAAGCTGTAGACGGCCACGCACCACTGTGTGGCCACGTATTTGCTATACTGGCTGTCGTTCACCAGCGCCCCAAAGATGATGCAGGCCACAAAGGCTTGTACGATCTTCAGGAGCCCGGAGACGGTGGCCATGTAACTGGTGACCTGTCCTGGTTTGGCCCTGGTCAAGAACACCTCCGCGCCGTACACAACAAACACGAGGCCGGCGAAGACGCTGGCCGCTATGCGGAAGTCTCTCACCTCGCAGGTGATGGGGTAGCAGCCGAGCTGCACGAAGTAGAGCGGGTAAATCACCGCCGCTGTGACCGACATGAGCGTGGCGAGCATGGCGAACGCAGCTGTGAAGTTTCCCCAGGAGATGCTCAGACAGCTGTGCAGGTGCGTGAACTCGCAGGTAATGATAAAAACAGTGACGGCAAAGCAGAAGGTCCAGACAAACATGCAGAAAGTGCCGTATGCTGCGCTGAATCCCCCCTGGTGGGCCACCAGGCTGAACGTGGTGCATCCGAACATCATCTGCAGCAAACGAACTATTCCCACCGGAGATGTCACAGCCGCAGTGTTCAGATACGGCCCTCCTGTGCTCTCCATCATCTTTCCAGTCCTGCAGATGATGCACTTAAAAAAAAAAACAACACCCAAACTTCCTTTCAGGCTTTTGCCCTTTGTCCTGAGTCACACCTGGCACCGGATCAGCGGACAGCAGCTCCAATTCCTGCCTCCCTCTGCCGGTATCCGTAGGTGCTGTGCTGACGCTGAGCGTGCGTCTCTGGCACGGAGTGCTGCTGCAGGGAGGTTGCTGCTGGCTCTGCCCACCGGCTGTGCTCTTGGGGTGCTGCGATCCGTTCCCGGCTCTGAATGCTGTCCCTTATTCTGTCCTTTCACTGCCTGCTTTCCCTCACGATGGCTGAAAGGATCACGTTCTCCCCAGGGGCTGACATTTATTCCATTTTAGCTCTGCAGCTGTAGCTCTGCCGTGGCACTTTCAGGAACCCAGGCATATAAATAGGGGCTATATTAATAGTGCTGGAACGAGTCCTGCCCCCCTCAACTGCCGTGAGCAGTGTTATTTAACACTGACCCCACGAGCTCCATCGCGGCTCTGGGTCGCCCTTCTGCTCCTCTGGATGTGTGTCGCTCAGTGCTGCTCTGCACGCAGCTCAAGAGCCCCAAGCACAGCCCTGGGGGGGGACGGGCCTGGATGCCCCACTGGCACTGAGAAAGCCTGCGATAGAAGCTGACTCATTTTGCTCCTTTTGATCTGGAGCAGCGATAGATTTGCAGCTGTGAAAGGCCCCGCTGTGCTGCGAGGGCTCGGACACCAATCCTCTCCGTCTCCCTGTTTTACTAATGTGGGAACTGCTTATTCTTATCCCGAGCGCCAAATCCAAAATGCAACCGTTGACAAAAAAATGGCTTTGATATCCTTTGCTCTGCTTTGGAACACAGATTCCAATAGAAATGGTCAAACCCTTCAGTTTGATCACAGCTTTCCCCATCGCCGTTTACGGCGTACATTTCCCCAGGCCTCTTCGCAGCTGAGAATTCTCTTCATTTCGACTATAGAAGTTAAATAAGATGATTGTTATGACTTCGGAATGCAAAAAACGCCACAGAAGAGATTCCTCATGCAGCCCTCGCATGGCACCGGGCCACTGCCACGCTGCCACCCCCAGGGTCATCCCCAACCTCAAATCCCACACCAGGCAGAGGTGGCAACAGAGAATTGCTGCTTCAAGCCAGTTTTATGATCTTGGTGTGCTGTCGGGATGGGGTCTGGGTTTGTGCAGGTGGGGCTGCCCCTGGTCCAGCCATGCTCTGTGTGTGAGGCTGGCGGGCATCCTGCTTGCACCCACACACTGCTGCTGTGACCTGGGGGTGGAATTGACACGATTAACATCACAACAAACAGGAAATGCAGTCCAGGGGCTGAGGGGCTGCATGGGAGATTCGCTGTCATTGATCTCTGCCCCTCCTAACTCTGTGATGTTAATCCTTCTCCTCCAACAGGGCCTTTTCCAGGCGGTATAGGAGTCTAAAGGGGCTGTAAGATGGGGACAGACTCTTTAATGGGTCTGTTGGGTAGGACAGGGGAAATGGTTTCAGACTGAAAGATTTAGGCTGGATATTAGGAAGAAATTTTAATGCTACAAGCAGTGAGGCAGTGGCACAGGTTGCCCAGAGAGGTGGTGGTGCCCCATCCCTGCAGACAGCCAAGGGCAGGGATGGGCTGTGAGCACTGATGGAGCTGTGGGTGTCCCTGCTCAGGGCAGGGGTGGCACCAGATGGCCTTAAGGGTCCCTTCCAACTCCAACCATCCTGTGATTCCATGGTTCATCGCTGAGTGCTGCTCTGTTCTGTGGCACGTCCTGTAAGCTGAGGGCTGTTACAAGGTACAGCTATCATAGCATCACTCCATAAGTAGCATTCTGTTGCACGCAAATGCAGCTGAATTCACGCTCATCATTTTTCTTCTTGAGTCACAACCAGAGCTCCTCCAGGCCCTTTCTCCCCACGCCTTCCCATCGAAGCATTTGGCTGCAGCTGCACCATGCTGGCTACGCTGAGTCTGGAACTGCAGCCATGCAGTGCACATACTTACATCCACTGTCAGCTTTTGATTTCTTAATTGCATTTTAATTTTAGCTCAATCACATGATCCTATTGGGGACAATTTTTCAGTGATGAGTTTCTAATAGAAAGCATCTCATCTAGTCATGAGATCTGAGCGTACAAACACATGGTATGGAATTCTTCCAGTCTCACCCCTCTTGCTGTTGGCTTCCATGTAGCAAATATCACTGGTGGTGAATTTAGAAGTGTCAGCTTCACAAAGGCTTGGGAAAATTATATTTATTGCACAAGTACAAGAAGAAATATAGAGCTGGAAATCACCCTCTGGGTTACAGATTCTGGTTACCAGATACTGCTGGCAACCACATCATATAATTTTTTCTAATAAATTAGCTAAATTCCCCCCTTAACAGTATTTCTGAGGGCTTCTGCTCTGTTATATCTTTCAAAATACTGTTGCAGAGCCACACTAAACTAGAGATTGCTGACTTCCAGGGAATTTTTTCCTGTTTGCTAGATGTCATACAACCCCTGTGAACATTCCTTGCCTTTTAGAAATTAGCCTTTGGATTCATGTTTTAGAAATACAGGCAACCAGCTCTGTGGAAAATATTGCAGAGTTGAACAGTGGCGTTTATACGTTTCCTGGCAGAAACATGGCTGGACACAGAGCAGGCACTTGCCATCAAAATGCATCACCCCTGTGTACAACCATTCGAGAGCAGCTGACAGATGCAGCAGCTTCCCTCGATGCTCCCAGGAGAAGAACAAGTGCATGGCAGCAGTTCTGGCTGCTGCTCAGCTACCAGAGCTCTGCACTGATCGACCCTAAGCAACTTCGGCCCTCAAAGGAATCCTGCTTTCTGCATGCTTTCAAACATTCCTTGTACTGAAGAAGCCTCTCAGTTTAGCGCCATGAAAAGTGTAGTCAGAACAATGTTACATCCGTTATTAAAGCATATAAAATGTTAGTAATTCCTACACAAATAATACAGAAACTGCACTGATAGCTTTCTGCCATTTCAGTTCTGCTGGGAGCACCGTTCATTTTCTCCTTAGCACTTCAGCTGAGCTGTGCATCAGGCCCCATCTCACACAGCAGCACTGCTCCCCAGCACGGTGCTGCCTGCGCATTTGCTGCAGTGCACAGAGTAAGGGAACGGCTGGGAGCTCGCAGGCAGCACCGCCTTTAACCTGGGAAGCTCTCTTGAAAGAGCGTGGAATTTTTCTAACGTTAGGCCCTAAAGTTCTGTTGCTTATGCATTGTGCAACCATTACCACAGTGCAAGTGAAAGCAAAGGAGGTGTTAAGGACCTCTGCAGGAAGGATGGCAGTTGTGCTCTGCGCACAGCTTTGTCTGCGCTGACCCAGCACTGAGGGAAGCTTTTGCACGAGCTTCCTGCTCTGAGGAACGGCCTGGTGCTGCCTCCAGCTTCAGCCATGCTTCTGATCCCTCCCCTGCTCTCACCCCATTTCGAAGAGGAAGGTGTGCTCACAAATGGAAATACGTTGTTTCTTGTCTTGTGCTTTTATGTTGGAAACACTTTGCCTTTCGAGACAGGCCCGCTTGAACCAAACCTTTCTTAACTGCTATAAAAACATATCTTAAAATGCAATGCCCTGGAACAGCTGAGATATCACAATCCTCAAGCTGAAAATGCCGTGTAAGGATGCAAACAGCAGCTGCTGGGTGAAAATCTCCATCTTCATACACTACAATCTTCTTTAGAGGGAACAACAAAGCAAACTGCGAGGGGAACACCAGAGTCTTATTATAAAATGACAACACCACTCTCAGCCCACCGCCAGGCACAGTGATCGTAAGGAAATCCCATCCAAATGAGCAGCATATACAACTTTACAAAGACATATGAATGGTTCTCTGGTCAGCTCTTATAAATAGCATTTTACATATTAAAATAAATATGTCCACATTGCCAAAGTAGCAAGAGGTTTCTTCGTTATTTTAAAAAAAATATGTTACAAAACAATATCATTTATATTTCTTGCTTAGTTTTTAAAAAAGTAATAAAAAAGTCATTTTATAAAATAAGACAAAAGTAAGTTGATTACAAGAGTGTCCATCCCTAGCACGTGTCCTTGGTTTGTGCACTGCGATACATGATGAGATGCTGGCCTCCAGGAAGTCATGTAATCATTTCTTCACTTCTAGTTGGACAAAAGAAATCCAGTGCTTGCTTTTCTCACCACTTGTACGAGTCTATGATGTCAAATTCATGGCAAGGGAGAAAGTCCTAGATCTGGGGAAGGTTCTCATCGTGCTATATTTATGACTTCTCTACTCGCTGTGTCAGATTGCCTTGTGTAACACAGAAGAGGATGTGAATGGCCAAGACCGAGCCCTGGAGCTTGGAGGTAACACGTTCCAGTCAAACAGTGTGAGCAAGAAATTGCTTTTTTTTTTCTTTCTTAACACATCCAAAGTGTGCAAGAGTGTGGGAGCAAATGGGGGTGTGCAGGTTTCAGCCTGCATGGGGGTGAGCGTGCACCAGCCTGCATGAGCGTAAGGAAGATTAGAGAGTGTGGGAGAAGGGCTCCGAGTCTCCTCCTGATCTAATCTCTCTGCCCCTGGGAAGATCCCCTCCTAGTTACCACTGCTGAGCATCCCCAGGAGTTTACTGGGCTCCAGGCCCTGTTGCTGTGCCATCTTCTGCACGTCAAAACCCATGTGCATGAGGAACTGGATCACGTTCATCTCCTGCCCTGTGAACTGGTCCCTGATAGTGGGGCACGAGGGGTTGCAGTGGGGCCATGGACAGCTGTCAATCAGATGAATTGGGCAACCTTTCAGAGGGGCCTTCCCATTTTTGTTGCTCTCATGTAGGCTCCGATCCCAGCAGTGCAGGGCGCGGGGTAATGATGTCCCCTTCACCTGGATGTCCGTCCAATGGCTGAAAAGACAAACCGTACAGGTTGTGTCAGAGAGATCAGGCTATCAGAACCGTTATTTCCCCTGGTGTTCTCATGTTGACCTTTTACAGAAGCTGTAAAACCACTCACTTGCGTGTAATGATCTCATGAGACAAACAGGCAGGAGCAAAGCTAGCACTACAGGAGAAAACAGAAACACAGGTTAGGTCTTGGGAGGACAGTTAACTCCTGTTGAATAGAATCTTTGCAGCGAGGCAGAGGGTGGAATTTTTGCTGCCCTGACAAAATTGTTTGGAACAGCAACGACTATCATGACATAAAACCTGGCTGGACTCTAAAGTACCCAGAAGAAAAGGGGTTCCATCCTGCATCTGCTGCAAGTTGCATACAGCAACTAAAGTACATTAATAGTTGATGAGACAATGGAAGAAGAACCATCTCAGCGTTTTATGATCAACACTTTCCAAAACAACCCCGTGGGGTGGATGGGTGTGCAATGGCAAGGGGTCTCAGACCTCACTGTGGAGGTTGGTAAAAAACAAAACCAACCAGCACCAACATGTTCTTATCGATGATAAAGGACAGTATCTGTGAGCCTGGAAATTACTGTGTGCTTATTCAGAAATGAAAACGTCAAGATTCTTAGCATAGACTAAGTATAGTTATCAATGTATGACACCAGTGTCTGCAGAGATCAGATAAATGCTACCAGAATACTGGATAAAGGGCTTTTCTTGGAAGTACACACGTCGCTTTTTCTCACTCAAAGACTTACGTCACATCCTTCAAGGTGTTTCTCAGCTCCCTACCCAGATTCTGGATGTAGAGCCACTGCCCCTCCTGAACAGGCTGGCCAGTGAGGTGTACATTGTCCACAGTAAGCTGGGCCTCATCAAACAGCCACTGGACAACAAAGACCGGACCTGGGAAGACAAAAAGAAGAAGAAGAAAAAAAAAGGCAAAGATTGCTGTAGGTTATCTGCAGGGAAAAACCCAGGATCCATTTTCTCTCTCTCCTCCAATACTTACATCGAAGAGTGGGGTAAATCTTATATCCAAAAAAACAATTCCATTCTTCTCCCTCTTTAAACTGCAGCTTACAGCGTTCAGGAACAATACCATTCCAATACCTGGAAGACAAAGCAACAGCAGAATGAATGTCATAGTAACATCTTAACAGTGATCTTTCCATACGCTGGTCTATTTCTGTTCTGGTTAAAGTGCCAACTTACTAGAAGCAAAGCTCTTTCTTGGCTACACTGTACAGTCAATGCATTTTAGAGCAGCTAACTGCACATTTTCTTTCACGTGTCTGCATTTTAAATATAATATCCCTGAAGAGACCACTGATGGTATAGAATAAATACTCTTCAGGTGTCAGAACGCAGGAAGACCAAGAGGGAGAACAAAAAAGCACACTTCAGAGCACATGACTGTACCTTATTCCTCTTCTGATGGCTTCTGTTGGAGCACACGTGATGGTGTCGATGCAGTCAGTTCTGCGGTACTGCTTGTTATCCAGGAACCATCCAGAGTCTGCTAAGCCACGCACCTGGATCCCTTGGTACCCCATCTCCTCCAGCTGCTCTGCCACACGATCCACGTTCAGCAGCACTCCTGTTCCTCCAGCACTGCAACAGCAATTTTAGTGCTGCAGTGACGATGCAGGCGCAGCTACGGCACGGCTGCTAGCAGACATCTCACAGCAGCCACGCTCTAAACAACTTCATTTCTCCACTGGACAACCCCGTGGAGAACAGGAGTAGGGCTTGCTGCTGAGAACTCTTCCCAAAGAGCCTTCTGCTGTGGAAGCCCTGCAGACACATACCTGCTCCCTGCCAGCAGCAGCACTTTCGCAGTGCTAAGACCTTTTCCCACGAGCTCCTTGATGACCTCCTGGATGATCAGCGCTCCCATGAAGGCGTATTCGTCTGAAACAGAGACCTCAGTGTCAGCAGAGCTGTTTCCTGCCCAGGGTAAGACCTTCACTTCTCCACAAATGCAAAAGAACGTTACAGAAGGATCACAGATCTGAACACTGGCCTGTTCCCTCCACCCGCATGTTCCCCCAGTGTTAAACTTTTCTGAAAGAAGTGAATAAGCAGTGAACAGAACACAAGGTAACACCAGAAGGCCTTCCTACACAGCGCTCAGGAATTGGTGAGCTAAGAGAAGGAAAACGAGAGCAAAGCAGACTGCTTCTGTAGGTATTACTTCTTGTAATATCTTAACTCAGTGAGCACTGAGAGCCACACAAGGTGAAACAGATCACTCGTGCGAAATTGAGCTCGATCTGGAGGACTCCTCCAGGCAGATGCTGAGTTCTGGCATCATCAAAAGGACAGCAAAGCGGGCACGTATGCAAAGCAGTGATTCTATTTGCAAAGAATTCTGCAGATAGCTCTTAGTGTGACACACAACAGCTCCTTTCCAAGGACAGATATCTCCCTGAGACAAGTTTGAAGTTAAGTTCACTTGCCTCTCACATCAGCAAAGCCAAAGTCACATGCAACAAACCATGGTTCCTCAGCTGCACCGTTTAATTTGCTGTGTGCTGGAAGCCGGGGAGTCATCCAAAAGGAATTCAGTTCCTCTAATCCTTGCCTACTGCATCAGTAACATCTCCGCAAGCAGTGGCTCTGAACTATGTCAAAACAGACTGCGCTAAAGAGATCAGGATGTTTTATCTGGAAGTAGCTCGATATTCTTTCCTGCCCTTCAGTGAGAAAAGCCTGTTCCCCATTCGTGCATTTCACAGAAATCTGGCCATAGCCTTCAAAGTGCAACGTCTGCGGCAGCAACAGCCTGTCAGCAACACTCACTTTTCTCAGACTTGGAAGAGGCACCGCTCCAAACATCACTTGAGCAATACGGGATGAATCTGAAAAAGAGTTGTGTGAGTGCTGCGTTCCTGCGGGGTGAGGATGGGGTCACACGGCTGAAGAAAATTGAACCCTGGGGAGGGGAGAAGGGAACAGCTTCTCATCCACACAGCCCCCAGCCACACCTTCCTGCACACCCATGGGACACTTAGGCCCATTTCCTCCTAACACTGGTGGCTTTACTGAGATAAATCAACAAAGAACGTGCCTTCTGTTGATCTAACTGAAGCGCTATGCCAGCTGGGCAGGGCAGAGGGCTGTGAAGTTGCCCTCAGCTCCCACTGACACAGTGGTGCCTGCACTGTGAAACTGTGCTTCAGTTCTGTCACACCTACACTGAGAAGACATTCAGCCGTGCAACGCTGAGTCTGGAATGGTTTTACCGCCCCAATTTGTCTACAGCTTGCAGGACGCACGTTCACATCCCTCTGCTTTTCCCTCCTACACTGACATGTATAAATGGAACTTTCTCATTTCTCCTCTTTGAACTAAAGAAGTGATTCCATGTTCCCCTCGAGCTGGCAGACATACAACACGCCACCAGCCAGCCACAGGATTTGCCACTTCATCTATTTGAGAAGGCTCTCAGCTACCCCAAGTCCTCCTCCATCATCCCACAGCTCCTTGCAGAGCAGACTTGGAGTTTTCCAGTCCAGGCAGGCACAACTTCAGTTAGATGTGTATGGCATCTAATGAGGAAATGGGCAATTTCCTCATGTGCCTGTTAGCCTCAACCTGTCCCTGCAGCATTCTTGCTACCCCAAAGCAGGAGTTGCTGTGACAGCAGAACCCATCTCCCCGAGCGCGCTCTCCTTACACCATGTTGGCGTTCCACCAGTGGGGGTTCTCCTCTGGCTGTGACGACAGGATCCCCGTTCCTGCAGATGGACACAAAGAGGGAACATTCAGTGACACTGTGAGCTACAGGACGTGGTTTGTGTTAGGGCTGGAGCCTGCCTAGAGAGCTCCATCCATACAGCTCCTGCAGCACAGAAAGGCCCCGTGGCAGAGAGTAAGCACTTCCCCAGACACCCAATGCCCTCAGGTGAGCGACAGCACATGCACCTGCAAATGGGAGCAGTCGAGGGATGCGATGAGGATGGACTGAGTGCAGCAAGAATGAAAAGAGGCTGGCAATGCTCTGCCAGCCCCAAAGCCCCGCAGCTTTGGGTATCAGTTCAGCTTATGTGTGACATCAAAAAAGCCAAAGGTGCTTTTACGTGCACTGATACACACGGCACTATGACGGGCGCTGCGACCGAGCGGGGAAGGGGTGGATTGAGAGAAGCACAAACGCGCTTCACAACAAATGACCAAACCAAGCTTTAGAAGATCCCGGCGGCTCTGGGATGCATTTACAATAAAGAGGGGGACGTGAACCGGAGATCCGTGAGCAGCGCTGCCCACAGCCGTAACGCAGCTCGCCCACGTGCCCGCCCGCGCCTCCAGGCGGTGCCTCCCGCGGGAAGGAGCAGCCCCGGCGCCGGGCGACGCTCACCCACTCTGGTCGCCGGCCACTCCTTGGAGCTCATCAGCCTCCGCATGGTGTCGTAGCGCGTGTCGCAGTTCTCCCTGTTGAAGCAGTACCAGCCCCCTGCGGGGCACCGCGGGTCACGCCGCGCCGCCCCCGCGCGCAGGCGCGGGCTGCCCGGAGCCGAGGGCAGGCGGCCAGCGCGGGGCCGCCCCGAGCCGCGCCCGGGCGAGGCGGCGCCGGAGGCTCACCTTCCAGGAACAGCAGCCACCGCCGACTGCCCTTCGACTCTTTGAGGTAGTAGCTGCGGACAAACAAACAGGAGGCAGCGCGGCCTTAGCGGGAGCTGCGCCCGACCGCAGCGCTTTGATGCCCGCCCCGCCGGAGCGTCGGCGCTACGCAAAATATTTGCTCAGCACCGAGGAGAGGCGGCGGGAGCGGAGCCGCGGCGCGGGGCGCGCCAAGACGCTGCGGGCGCGGCCGCCCGGGAGGCGCTGCACCTGTCGCTGCCGGGCCGAGAGCGGCCGCGAGGTGGCGCCACAGCCCTCGGGGCCGCGCCGGGGCCGGGCGGCGGGGAGCGCTCTCCGGGTCGGGGGCTGCGGGGCACCGCGGGACGGCGGCGGGGGCGGCGCGGCGCGGGGACTCACCCGGCCGGGCTGCCGTCGTTGCAGGTGACCGAGGCGTTGTGCAGGAGGTGCAGGCGCAGGTCGTGCGGCAGCGCCTGGGCCGAGCAGGGGTACAGCGACTGCGCCAGGCTCTTGACCTGCGCCATGAAGCTGTCCATGTTGCCCTCCACGGCGGTGAAGTCCAGCGGGAAGCTCTCGGCCGGCGCCGCCGCGGCCGCTGCCTCGCCGCGCTCGCGGGCCGCCGGGCCCCGCCGCCGCCAGCCCTTCCTGCCCTCGCCGCCGGGTCCGGCGTGCAGCAACCCCA